CAACCTCAAACTTAATATCCTTTCTTTGTTGATCTGCATAAGATTTATGCATATCAAATGCCTCTATCAAGTGATCACAAATCAATCTAACAGTATCCTCAATCTATCAAACTAATTATGGACCCAAAGTCTTCCTATCATGTAACTTGATCCAACAGATAGAAATAAAAATGGCGTCCATACAGAGCCTCATGCGATGCCATGTGAATACTTACATGGTAATTATTATTGTAAGCAAACTCGGCTAAAGGCAAGAAATCTTCCTAACTACCACGTCAATCACACAACCCCGTAGCATATCCTCTAGCACCTGAATTACTCACTCAGACTGACCATCAGTTTGTGAGTGAAAAGTTGTACTGAAATTCAAACGAGTACCTAGAGCCTCGTGTAAAGCCTTTCAAAACCTATAAGTAAACCTCGGATCTCGGTTGGAGATGATAAACAATGAAACACAGTGGATTCTAACGATCTCAAATATATATACAATTTAGCCAACTTGTCCAAAGAATAATTAACCCAAACAGGAATAAAGTGAGCTGACTTTGTGAGTCGATCCACAATCACCCAAACAGAATCCTTTTTGGAAGGTTTTAGAGGAAAACCGGTAACGAAGTCCATTTTAATACGATCCCACTTTTACTCAGGAATCTAATAGACTACAATAATGTCAATGAATCTTGGTGTTATACCTTAACCTACTAACAAGTCAGACACCTTGCCACAAAATATGAAATATCCTTCTTCATGCATTTTGTCCCCACCAGGATGCATGACATAAGGACAACTATGAGCCTCCTAAAGAATAGTATGTCTTAATTCATCATCTTTACGGACGCAGTAACGACCATGAAAGCACAGGATACTATCCTGATCAAAAGTATACTTTAAACTCATTCCCTGCTCAACCTGTCTAATAATGGGAAGTAATGAGCTATCTAGGAGTTGTTTGGCCTTAATCTCCTTGACCAAAGTGGTTTTAATTTATAACTCTGCTAACAGGCTGCCATCATCAAATAAACTCAAACTGGCAAGCAAGACTCTCAGATCAGGTATCGTCTTACAAATCAAGGAGTTGACCACCACATTAGCTTTCCTTGAATGATACTCTATCTCATAATCATGGTCCTTTAGAAGCTCCAACCAGCGTCGCTGTCTCAAATTCAAATCTTTCTGAGTATGCAAATACTTCAGACTCTTATGATCGGTATAGATATAACATTTATCTCTGTAGAGATAATGTCTTCAAATCTTCAAAGCAAAAACCAAGGCAGTTAACTCTAGATCATGCGACTTTAACTGACATGACGCAAAAGAGACAACCTTCCCATCTAGCATCAAAACCCATCCTAATCCAGAGTGAGAAGCATCATTGTAGACAAAAAAAATCCTTCCCAGACACAGACTGAATCAACACTCGGGCTTGAGTCATAAGAGTCTTTAGTTTCTCAAAGTTAGCTTGTTGGTCCTCAGACCAGACAAATAGAGCACATTTCCTTAATAGTTTCGTTAGAGGAGTCATAATAATGGAGAGCCCCTCAACGAAACAACGGTCATAACCAGCTAAGCCCAAGAAACTACGGATTTTTGAGACGTTCTTGGGTTGCTTCTAATTCATATTAGCCTCCACTTTACTCGGATCCACTCGGATACCCTCAGCAAAAATGATATGTCCAAGAAAAGTCACTTCGCTGAGCCAGAACTCACATTTTTTCAACTTGGCATATAACTTCTTTTCCCTCAGAGTCTGCAGAACAATCTTTAAATGCTTATCATGTTCTGCTTCAGTTCGAGAATACATCAGTATGTCGTTGGTGAACACAACTACAAATTGATCATGTTATTAGCCATTCAATAACAACCAAGTGACTTGGCTTGGTGGTTAGGTATTTAAGGCTTTCATCCCTTATACCAAGGTTCAAATATCATGGGTTGTAAAATTTTATGGAGGTTTAATCCCTCCTTTTTTAATTTAATAAAAAATCTATGTGTCACGTGGCAACATCTGATTGGTTTCTATTAATTTAGTAAAAATAATTATTTATTATTAATTAATTTTTTTAAAAAATTGCTAACGTGTCATCACACATGGACATGCCACATCAGCATTTAGTCTACGTGATCTGCCATATCTTCATCTACTATGATATGAACATGCTACGCCAGTATCTCCCTCCACATGTTCTTGTTGAGTCAGCTTCAAGCGTTGACCATCAGTTGACTAATGGTTTTCATCCAAAGAGGGTGTTTTTTGACCCAAAATGAAACATGGGGAGGTCAAATGTTCCAAAAAAAACAATAGGGGCAAAATCCATATATTGTCAAACGTTAAGGGTATTTGTTTGCATTATGCCTTAAATTAAACCAACTAACATTGACCATGTAATTAGCAACGTGCGTAAGTTTCTCCAAATTAAAATATAATAAAGCCCTTAATTAAATATGTATATCCACCAAATAAATGCTTAATAAATTCCGAGTTCTAGGAAAAGTGAGATTATTCAGCACTTGGTGTAGCTCCCCTTCACCCGAATTTCTTTTTAGAATTAAGGTTTAAATATGCTAAAGGGGTGTCTATATTATTTCAGAATTTATAAATTAATTTACCTGCTTTAAATTTGCAAAGCATTGGCTCTCTATATTATTTTTATGTAAAAATTTATGTTATTTTATTAATTTTTATATAATTTTATCATTAATTATTTATTGATCCTTAAAAAAGGGTAAATGTAGATAATTTAAATTTTAGATTATTCAATTAATGATAGAATTTTTTTATAAAAAAATTAAGGGATAAATTAATAATTATTTCCTTCCTTTAATATATTTATTTAACGGATAATGGATCAATTTGAAATGAGAAAAGACCCTAACCTATTTAAACCACAAATAAATGAGTGTTATAATTAAGGTGAATAAAGTAATATGAAATTATACATAATCAAAGCACATGTGTTGGACCAGACTTTGGGGATATTAGATTATGTTGTGAATTCAAAGTCTATACATAGCTTTGATAATTTTTTTTTATTTAATATAAAAGTAGTTTATTGGTTTTAGGAGAAGAATTGTAATGAGGCATGCTATCATCTCATGGTGGGTTGATTGGTTTGATTTAAAATGAATTGATTGATTTGGGTTAAAATTCAATTCATTTATCAACTGCTTTGAGATATATACATACAAATATATGAGTTGAGAGTTTAGGTAGTATTAACTTCAATTTGATTTTAAAAGTGTAAAATTAAATTCAATTTAATTTGACTTGAAAAGTCACGAGTTTAAAATTATTAAACTCACTTTGAACTTGAAATAAAAAAAATTAAAACTCGACTTAACTTGAAAGCTCACAAGCTTAAAATTTTTAAGCTCAACTCAATATAAAAAATTGGAGCTTGACTCGAACTCGAAATATTCTTAGACTTAGCTTGATTGAAGCTCAAACTCGAACTCGAACCTAAACATTAAGTACATGAAAATATTGTATTATATTATATTAAAAAACATATAACCAATAATATTTGGTTCAAGTGGTAAGTAGTTTGATGTCGCTTAAACAAGATTTTAAGTTAGAGTCATTGTGTATGTAGAAAATACTTGTTTGGAGACTCACTGACCAAAGTCAAGTATGTGATGTAGGTCAATCTGAATTAGTTAAACACTCTATTCATTTACACTCCTAAATACATGTAACGCCATACATTTTGCAATTTTAAAAATATGAATTTCTTAGAAACAAGGGAAAACATCAAATGACAATTAAATGCACATTGAGAGAATAGTAAGCCAATGAAAAAGATACATGCAAGCACTAATGAAACAAGGTGGCCTTGATTTTTAAGATTTTTGACGTTTTGTTCGTACAGAAATTTCAAAATTTGTTAATAATTTTGTCGTAAAAGGCAGCATGATGATTACTTTTGAGGTAAAGAAACCTGAAACCCGACTAAGTTTGGGTCGGGTCAGTTTGATTAATATCAGGTCGAGTCGAGTATCGGGGTAAAATTCGTGAATTTTTTTAGGTTCGGGATAAGGTATCCCCACCGCTTTCCACCACGCCCTGATTATATATATAATATTTTATATATTTTATATTAATTATATATATATATATATAATATTTTATATTTTTTATATTAATTATATAATACAAACCCTAAATATTTAAACCATAAACCCTAAACACTAGCTTTTATAATTATTAAAGTGAAATTTGGTTGATTTATTGATAAATTTCTCGATATAGGGAGTTACCAAAGAAAGTGACAAAAATGGTACGACGATTTTGGATAACTTTATATTACTTAATATTACGTATGTATCTTCGTTGTATGATTTGAATATCGGAACAAGTTTGTATTTAATTATGTATGTGTTTTATTTTGGAGTTTAGACTATTATTTAGAATTGGGTTTGAAATTGTGATTGTAGTTTGAATTGTAAATTATGTAGACTAATTTTTCATTTTTTGTGATCGTTTTTTCTATTTTTTATGAAACATACAGTTGCTTGTTTTTCTCGGGTTCGGATTCTCGGGATCGAGTCGGGGACGGAGCAAAAAAAATTCCCAACGGAGTACCCTAATAAAAAACCCGACGAGAAACAGGGTGGGAACGAGGATGGGGATTCATTTCGGGGAGAGGGAGCAAAACCCGCCCCGAAACATCATAGACCACAATTGAATCAATGAATAAATTAACTTTGACTAAAAGCGTATCAAAATTATTATTAGGATCAAAGGTGGACGAAATCTTATTTGCTTATTATCTAATAAAACTGACGGCGGCGACCATTTTTTTTATATGATTTACGAGTCAGAAATAGATGCATGAAAACCAGTTTATTTTGGCTCGGTTAAATTGCTACTTTTTATTTTTAAAATGAAAATTTGAAAGGTAAAATATATAAATAAACTAAAAACCACGGAATAATAATAATAATAAAATCATGTAAGAGAAACGCATAATATATTGATAAAAAAAAACATGAACACCCAGGCCAAATGAATACTTTCTAGGCATCTTAAAAATGTGTTGCCACGACTACAAATATTTTGATCAGCCTTAAATACATGAAAGAAAAGAGTGCCTTCTTTAACTGGGAAAGAGGGATATCCTCGGAATCTGAAGGGAGAATCATGGCTGCCTTTTGTGACGGGGCAAGAGAGCAAGAAGAATCTTTTTCCTAGGGCCCTGCAAATCACCATTCAAAATCCTTCATTTCCTACTTCATACTGCTTACTCAAAATTGAATGAGCGCCTTGAGTTGAATGAATTTGGGTGATCAGAAATTCAAGTAAAACACACACAAGCCTAATGAAGAAACTATGATACTTATCATCACAATTATATGTTTCTATATGCGGGACAGTTATTCATTTCAGCACATCGATTATGAAAATGAAGAACAAAATTTTTACAATAAATAATACAAGTACAGAAAAGATGGTGAAATACCATAGGTATTCCTAGCTCTTTAAGGTCATTTTCCCCCATCTGCTTTAGTGCAGTCATGTCCACCTGAGTTAAATATCGAATCGACAGATCAGCTGATCATGGAGAATAGAGAAAAAAACAAAAACAAGCAATTTTCCAATCAAAACCAAAATATAGGTCCATGATATTTCAGTAACTTAAGCAAATCTTCAAGTTTTGCATGATAGAACAGCTGCAGGAAATACAGGATATTTCTCTACATACAACAATCTGTTTAGAAACATTAGTAACCAAATGTCTTGACGATACTTAGCATTGCTTTATACGACATTCACAAGTTTAACAACATTACCATTTCAAACAGACCAATATCAGCCATAGTGGGCAGAATAAACATCTCCGAGATTTATTAGAGTATTTTTCTATTTTATTTAAAGTAACATCAATAAAATCTGCACCTACAACCATGTAGCATAGCGCCCACATATACACATTTTCTGTCATTCTACTACTTGATTAAAATCCTCCACCCCTTTTCTGTCTCTTCAGGGAAAGGGCTGTTGATCGGGAATGGGGAGGGAAATGAGGGCACACAAATCATCCTTTTTTATCTTGTAAATACAAGAGGAACTCATAAAGATGGTTACATGATAAGATGTAAACTATGAAGAAAAAATTAGCAATCAACAAATTACTAACAAGAAATAACATATAAAATGAAAATGCATCTTTGTCCATAGCTGAATAGTCTTCCAAAGCATCTACAAACACCTTTTATCTTTCCAAAAAAAAAAATTATCCTTACTCGGAAACTAAGGCTCTAGATTACTTACTTCTTCTGCCTTGAAAGTAATTGCATACTTTCCCAGCCCCAGTGAATGCAGCAAGCCTTCAACAGTATATTGCTCAACACCCTATATAGCAGCCACCCAAAATGAAGGGGAAAGAATGGTAAGAAATCCATCTAAATGCCATTTTATAAATCAAGGTACACAACTATTTAAAAGAAAGTCTTTGGGACCACACATATACTAGATTTTATTGAACACTCAATAAGTTACTAGATTCTTATCCACCTCAGATAGAGATATTTTGTGCAAGTCTTGACTTTCCCAGCATAATAGTCTGAGAATAAGATTAACACATTTCATTGGACCGTTTAAAAGATGGAGACATGATAAATTATCATACAAAGTACACCATGCGTTATATGGTAAGGAACAAACTTAATTCATGAACATAAGCCGAAGTTCACAAGAAAATCCAATCAGAAAAATAGATGTAAAACATGTTAGTTGCACCTTGCACGATTCAATAGTAGAATAGAAAGTTGATGGCAAATAGTATGTACCGCAAAGGAAGGCTTTTGTACAATACTACTTGCAGGAGGAGCTGGACATGGAATTTGGGGGCCTAGGGGTATGAGCTTTGTTGAAGTGGTTGGCAATCTAGACTTTGTAACAAAAGATGTTGCACTCACAGGCCCTGGAGCATCAAAAATATCTTTTCCCATGTATGAAACTGCTCTGGCATCATCATATGTCTTGTTTACTTGCCTTCTCTGAATCTCTCCAACATTTCTTGGGGGAGATAAACCCCTAGAAGTACCCCTTACTCTCTCTGGAGAACATTGTCTTAAATGATCTAAAGTCCAAGGAGAAAAAGAACTTCTTGAAGTGGTAACACGAGGCAAATCATCTACACTTCTTGTGGAAGGAATTCTGCCAGGGATACTAATTTCCCTAGACTCTGGCACTCTCTCCCTCGGTTGAGGTATTCGCTCCTTAGAATCAGGCATTTGATGTGTCTCATAAGGCTGTCCCGTTCTTGACAACTTTGCACAAAGGTCCATATCCTTCTGGTTTACATCACTCTGAGCCCGTCTAAACACATTTTTTTGCATGAGTTTAAATCGGAGGTCATTTTTACCAATGTGAACAGCTTTTTTTCCCCCAAAAAAGAAGTTACATTAGTAATCTCACAAACAGTTCATAGAACAGGAAAAATAATATTTTGCAACACAGAGGCATAAGTTTGTTACCATTCAAGCCATTGGTATTCAAGCTTGTAGTATAACCATCACCTCTTTGTCTGTCGAAAAGGCAAACCAGCACAATAACTTTTTTTACACGAGTAAACTTCCCTGATAAACTAATAGGGCGAAAGTTTATAAACAGAGAAAATAAGAGCCAGAGGTGGGGCAATGAATTACTTCTCATGGCCTATGGAGCAGCAATTTATTTTTTCTTGGAAAATCCTTATCAAACAAATATCCAACAGTTGAAGTAAAAGCAGGATGCAGTCCTGAATTCCAAATTATTACAAATAATGTTGAATGAAAAAGGAAACTGAACATATTAATGTGTAATAGGCAGTGTCAAGTCCAGGCAACCCATATTACCGAATACATTGTTTTAGTTTAAAAAACCCCTAAACTATGTGGTCTAATTTGCAAACTCCACATGATACAATACAACATCACTATCTTCCACAAGGAAATACAGAAAATTACTAAATTGCCATTGCACATGCACCGACGTAGCAAACCAAGATTTAGAAATGCTGATAAAACAGAAAAATTCTTAAAAGCATACCGTTTGTTGTTCAGCTGACTTCCGTGCAATAAAGAACCATCTACGTTACTTCCCAACCTATCTCTTACAGACCGTTTACTTCCAGAAACAGGATGAGAATCAGAAAAATCACCACTGGATTCAGGTCCAGCCCTCTTCACCACCTACACCAACATCAACGAGCCAACAAAAAAAAATTAGGGGAACTACAACAATATTTTTAGGGAAGAAAAAGCTTAAATGCTTTAATGAATAACAGGGAGAAATCCACCAAGCTACATTGATTCGTTCAAAGTCAAATTGGATAAAATTTATGCTCAAAGGATAAAATCCTACTACCTCGAGCCTATTTTCTAAAATTAACCAGAAACCAGGCAAACAATTGAACAACATCACCAAAAAAATGTTAAAAAAGAAAATAAAGTAAAAAAAAACCTGGCCAGTACGACCGAGAGTAATAGTAACACGACTCCGCGAAGCTTCTGCCATGAAGAAACCCTGGACAAGTTAAAGATCGATTAATCGGTTCTTTCGGTAATGACTTCTGAAATATAAACTAAAATGATGCTTATCAGAGCCTTTTTTAATAAAAAAAAACGTAGAAGAACAGAAACCCTAAAACACCTCAATGATGAAAAATTAGCCGTTTATTTTTAGAGATTTTAAACTTCGATAGTGAGGAAAAAGACAGACGTGCAAAGTAAAGGCCGCTGTTTTAAGAACAAATTCTTGTGTGGGAATTTTAGGGTTTGGCAAAGAGAATCCGAGAACGTAGAAGAAAAAGGAAAAGAGAAGAACGAGGAATTGTGGAAAAATTTCAATGCTGTTGGTTTTGTTTGTTCATTCAATACTAGACGTCAGATTCGTTTAACCAATATGAGACGTCCATCAACTATTTTGTCCCTATTGAGAATTGTTTATTTTTAAATCTCACTCTACAGTCTACAATTTTATTTTATTTAAAAAAAAAAGAGATAATCAAATTAGATGCATATCAATTAAATTCTATTTTTTTTAATGATTGAAAATTTAGCAACTAACTACAACAGAGCTCTTTTTGGAGCATAGTTTCCACCGTGGGTGGTAGGTCTGGGAGGAGTTGCTATTTTGGCAAGAGCGTCTACTACTCGGTTGTTATTACGAAGGATGGACGGTGTGTCATTGTATGTGTTTTCGTATTTCGGATGGGTCTAGAATTAGACTTCGACTTAAAGAAATGGATTAGAGTCGTCACCGATTATTTATTTTAAGAAAAAACGGGTTGATTGGATATCTTAATTTCTTATCTGATCTACATCTTACCAAAGATATGTCAGATTCGGGAGTCAGTTACAGTCAAGGAATGATTAGTACCCTTAAATTGTCATTTCAATACTAATTAATTTTCCCCAGTTGTCTTATTTAAGAAAATTTAAATTTAAATTGAAAGATAAAAGTTCGATCCAAATTATTTATCTTCAATTAATTAAAATACCCCTAAAAGTTCACCAAAATGTTAGATTACAAAACAAAAATGCTTAATTGAACAAAGGAAAAGACAATGGTCAAATTATGATGCCTTAAAAAAATATATATGCATCCTGAGAAATTAAAAGAAATAAAAACAAAATCAATTTACTATTAAAATTATACGTCAAATAAAAGGTCTACTAATTAAGGTAAAAAAAATATTAATTGCAAAATTTAAATATAAACAAAGTCATAAAAAATAACAGAAATATAATAAAAATATATATACCCAAAAAAGAAAGTAATTAAATGAAAAAGAGGAAGAAATAAATAAATGAAATAAATAAATAAATAAAAAGAAAAAAAAGTTAGCTAAAATTAAAAAGAAAAAATAATACAAAAATAATACAAAAAGAAGAAAAAGAAACAGAAATAACAATAACAATAACAATAAAAAATTAATTTAAAAAAATAAAAAGAAGAAAAATAAATAAAATAATAAGAAATAAAAAAATAAAATAAGATTAAAAATAATTAAAAGAAGGAAAAGAAATTAAATTAAATTAAATTAAAAAAACACTTTAATTAAAACAAAAATTAAATAGACAAGACTAAATTGAAAGAAAAAAAAGTAGGTGGTAAAATTAAAAAGCAAATCGGGGTAAAAATTTAATTTAGGGAGCAAAATAAACTTCAAAAACAAAAGAGGGACTGGAAATGAAATTAACCATTTTTCCATTCAAAAACACAAGGATCTGGTCTGGTCATCAGGTCATGGATTAGGTTGGCGGGTCACTATAAAAGCCAACTTTCAAAAACACTTTCTTATTTTTCCTCTTTCTCCCATTTCGATCAAAACCCATTTTTCTCTCAATTGTTCTTCGTGTTCTTCATGCACAAAGAACAAACACCCTCAAACCCAGTTTCCGATCGGCCACTGTTCATCGACGGTGAGACCCCCCAAAAAATACATCTTTTGAGAGCCCGTTTCATCATCCTTTCAAAAATCATATTTTTTTTTACAAAATAACCTCGGGGAGGGTTGGATCTGAGAAAGACTTCTCGAATACCCTCATCTCCGATCATCGGTCGTTCCTCTTCCGAGGGTCTTTCGAATCAAGAAAAAGCAAAACAAATACCACTAAAGCCACAAGCAACTCGAAGAAGGTAAGAACGAAACAATACCTTTTTTATTTTGTATTTTCTTTCGAAAGTTTACAACTTTTGCTCTGATTTCCTTGTGTATTTCTAGTGTATTTTTTTCTAACTTGTTACATGTGTATTTATAGTGCTAAAGTCATATTTTCAGTTCGGATTTAGACTCTTATTAGGACTAAAATTGTTGGTCTTTTGATAGTCTGACTTGGTTATTGTTTTGGCTTGATTCCCATGACGGCTTCGACAAATCCGGGATGTGGGAGATGCGGCTGGAGTGAGGACTCTCCCAACTATCATCTTGACTGTTGGATCGTGGCCTGTTGATCCAACAATGCCAGACATGCGGTGCTGAGATGCAAAAGATTTAGGGTTCGAAAATCCTATATACTTCGGGTGGAAGGTTAGATTGGCTCGAGTTTAAACCGGGTCTCGGGTCGGGGCTCCATTTGCATTTGGATCCGGGCTGCAGTTGTGTTATGGGTTGCTGAGTCTGTTGGTATTGGGTCACCATTTGTAATGGTCATTGGGATTATGTTTGGGCCTGAAAATAAAATGAAACCACATTGACAAATATCATGTATATAATATATATATATATATAGATATAATATCATACAATATATGCACAATACTATATACTATAAATATAAACACAATGTATATAATATAATAATGTATGCACACCATATACGTCATAACTATGCCATGTGTATTCACCCTATCGTATATCATATAAAATAAGTCACATAATAAATATGAATATATTATATAATGAAATACAAGGTCAGACGAAAATGTGTGGCTACAGCTGCCCCTCTTTGCCCATAGTCGCGTAGCGGGAATAGGGAAACGATTACGAGACACAATTTTCGTCTATCACGAATGTATCACTGAGTTTAACATCCTTTATTAGGGGGATCAATCCCCATATTATTGAATATTCTCCGTCATAGAGTTGAAATATGATGATTGGTTTGTTAATTTGGACTGAATCTTGAGATGGCTCCCTCGCCGTGAGGTTGAGTTGAACTGGAAAATTCTGAGAACGATATGTTTCGTTACAAAGTTGAAACCAAGCTCAAAGCATTGGAAAGTATCTCATGGATCATCTTCTAGCCCAATATACTTCGTCGTGAAGCTAAAATTTACCCTGATGATTTTGGTATGGAACTGGTTTTTTCATTATTGCGTTATAGATGACTCATTCATCGTGAAGTTGGGTTAATATTTTGGGTATAATATCCTTCATTATGAAGTTGAAATCGTAGGTGAATCGGAAAGTGGCTATTTGTTGCCAATCTGGGTCAATCTTGGTCTTCTTCTTGATTTAAAGACCCTGGTGTGAAATTTTGACTATAAAGTAGTTCCTTGCTGCTAGCTTGTGGTAATACGTCCTCGAGGTGAATGAAATCGTTCTCGAAGGCACTTGTTGACAAATAACTCTTCTCACATTGAGTTATATGTTGTTGCAGATGACTCATTTGCTGTGAAATTAAGTCGATCCGTTGGCCACGATATCCTTCTTCGTAAAGTTGAAATCGTGGATGGATCATTCGTTGTGAAGTTGGACTTTGAATTGGATTTCCTTCGTTGTGAAGTTGAAATCTCATCGTGTAAATTGACCACTTCGAGTTCAATATCCTTCGTTGTGAAGTTGAAATTGACTCTAACAAGAATTTGCAAAATTATGCATATATGTGATGCTTATGGATGCAATGCTCTTATGTGTGACTAAAATGCATATGTGAAATATGTTATTTTAGGATATGTAGATAAATCTCAATCTCTGGTTGTCAGTCTTGACGACTTTTGACTCTAGAATCTGATTTTCTGATTTTTTTATCTTGGATTCTTTAACATGTTTAAATCTGATGTGCAGAATGTAGTTTTTTATTCTTGATTTGGGAAATGGCTTTCAACCGTCTTAAGTATGGTAACTAAGCTTTGATTAGCTTCCGAGCATCTGTATTTTTCAAGAAAAATCTTTGTACAGTAATATGCAATTATCTTTTTCAAAAGTGAATAAATCATTAGATTTAAATTCAACCCAAGATGCTTAAATGGAATTGATTTAGAGAAATGGTGTCTTTATTCATAAGGGGGAAAAAGAACAAACAATACATGACAAATATTCTAAAAAGTGAATACATAAATGGAGTATGAGTGGAGGCCTTAAATCTCAATAATGTGGGTGCTTCGGAACTGATACGATGTTAGATAACTTTGAACACAACCTTTGTCAAGGGATCTTTGAAGATGCGACAATGTTTAGGAGAGTGCAACATTTCTCCGACTCGTTAAGTTTGTAGAAGATTCGGATGCCGTGACGCTTTACTTTATGGATTCTGAATCATTATCTAAATCGCCCTTTCGAGTTTTCAACTTGGACCCATCCTTGGTTTCAAGACACCCTTTTCGGATTTTCATCTTAGATCCACCTTATTTTCTTTTCCTTTTTCAATTTTTTTCAATTTAGGGTGCTCTTTCGGGTTTTCACCCTAAACTTTTTTTCTTTTTTTTTCTTTTTTAATTTAGGACGCCCTCTAGGGTTTTCATCCTAACCAAAGTATTTTTTGACTGCATCCAAATTAACAGTATTAAGTAGTTTCGATCCATCTATTTCAGTCAGGATAAGTGCTCCTCCAGAGAAGACATTTTTCATGGCGTAAGGTTCCTCCCAATTTGGCATTCGTTTCCCTCTGGAGTCCTTTTGAATTGGCCAAATCCTCTTTAGCATAAGATATCCTTCATGGAATACTCTTGAGCACACCTTTTTATTATGTGCCCGAATCATTCGTTTCTGGTAGAGTTGACCATGATGAATGACTTTCAATTTCTTTTCCTCTATTAGGTTCAATTGATCATATCGGGATTACATCCATTCTGCATCATCTAGTTTGACTTCTGACAAGACCCGGAGTGACGAAATTTCCACCTCAATGGGCAACACTGCTTTCATCCCATATGTTAATGAAAACAGGGTTGCCCCAGTCGAATTTCGCCCCAAGGTTCGGTAAGTAAACAAAGCAAAAGGCGATTTCTCTTGCCAATCCTTGTAGGTCTCAATTGTTTTCTCCATTATCTTCTTGATGTTTTTATTTGCTGCTTCTACCGCTCCGTTCATTTTCGGTCTATAAGTAGTAGAGTTGTGATGTTTTATGTTGAATTGCTCATAAGAATAATCCATCATCTTATTGTTCAAGTTTGTACC